GGCTGTCTGAGTCTGTCTCATCATTCTGCCTGCCATCCTGGTCTTAAGATGAGCAGGTAGCACCATGTGTAACAAAGAAACCTTGTGTCAATTACACAGACTCACAGAATGTTGGGGGTTGGAAGGGACATCCTGGAGATCGTCAAGTCCAACCCCCCTGCCAGAGCAGGACCATCTAGTCTAGGGCAGGTCACACAGGAATGCATCCAGAAATAAGAAATTTCTTTTCATATTGGACAAAATGAAGTTTCCCTATATTGTAAGGACTTCTTGTTGACTGTACTGGCAACACTATGAAATATACTGTGCTTGGGCTGTAAAGGTTTAGACTCTGCTCCTCCTGCAGTAGCTTTTCTGTTACAAACTGCATTTGCTCATCTGCCTTCTATTTATCTGTCTAGCTACTGCAGTACAGGACATGGTGTCAAGAGTTGGAGCAGCAGCTGGAAGCAGGAGGGGTGAGTGCACAGGTTGCTAACTAAAGATCATACATGTAGCATTTGTTAATGCAGGCAAAGGAAGAGCTCCCCAAAGCAATGACAGGAAAACAAGAGTTTGCTACCTGAGGTTTTAAAGAAGTGCTGTAAGTTTGCCTGTCAGCATTTTGTCCAGTTGCCATTCTTAGAGCAGCCAGTAGTCACGGAAATGCCAGTCCAGAAAATCCTATCAAGAAGGATTTTTTTTTTTTTGTGAAAGAGTGCTTTACTGCTGGAGTAACATTTGTCCTGGGTTACTGAAGAGGGCTGTACTGCCTGGTGCATTGTGTGGCTGTCTCTGAAAAAGAATTGGTTGAGACACAGCATTTTGGATGGCAAGAATGCTGGTGTTGGACATACAGGGCTGGCTCAGTGCTTTTCTTTCTGCTTCACAGCTAAAGTAAACCTAGGAAACAAAGGGTAGGAGAGCATTCCCAGGCTTCAAGTCTAAGTGAGCACTTAGCTTAAGTGAGTGGTCTTGACCTAAGGATACCTAGCTGTGAGAGTGCAACAGTGGGAGACTGAGGAGAGCTAGCTACTCACATTGAGTAACACACTTCCCCTCCCTTCTTCTCTGTGGTCACAACACTGTTATGCCTGGAAGAAGCCACGAGCTCAGATACCCAGGAAATGGAGGGGCAAGTGGTGGGTGCTAGCAGCAGTGAAAGGAACACAAGGATTTGACTAAATATTTCCTTTCTTCCTAAGGGATCCCTTCCAGGCAGACAGGAGGCCACAGAAGACCACAGCTTGGAGAAAGCACTGCTTCAATTGGAAGAGGAACAGCAAAGGTAGAAGGAACAAGTGTCCCCTCATACTTGGTATCCGGGATGCTCAGGGAAGTGAGGGAAAACCTGTCAGTGCTACCTAGTCAGGGGAACCAGGTAGGCATGCCATTAGGAAAGAAGAAGGGTCCACCATCTGTTCCATGATGCAGTAGTAGTGTTGTGTGCTGAATGGCTCTGTTTTGAGCAGGGTTCCAGGTGACCTCCAAAGGTCCCTTTCCAGCTTAAATTATTCTGTGGTTCAGTAGGTGGGTGACTCAGGACAATGCTAGAGGATGGTGGTGCACCCAGTGATCAGACAGCACAACAGGGAGGCAAGATGGTGACTGTGAGAATCACCCAAGTTGAAGAGGAAGGGGGAATGGACACTGTAGATAGAAATTGAAGGCTTAAAGCAAGGAGAAGCAAGTGAGTTTGCCATCACAAAGAGATCCTAGTTAATCGTAGAAAGCACTTTTACTGCAACTCAGTTTGACAAAAAAAGTCAGTGTGAGGGAGCTGGAAAATCATGGGGGTGCTACTTATGGTCACTGCTTGTTCAGTGACCTCCTTGCTGTTTCTCCCTTTCCAAGGTGTGAGAATCTGGCAGAAGTGAACGCTTTACTGCGAGATCACCTAGATAAAGCAAAGGAGGTTAATTCAGCCCTCAAAGAAGATGTTGGAAAACTGACAGCAGACTGGATGAGGGCCCGGGAGGAGCTGGAATTGAAGGAAAGTGAATGGCACAATGAACGTGAGGTAAGGATAGGCTACAGGAATGTCAGATGTGATGCCAGAGTGGAATGAGAATGGATTTTATTTCTGGCTCACAGAACGTGCTGTGTGAAAGTTGTGGCTACACTGAGGATGTATTGGTGTTGACTAGCAGAAGGCAGGTGTGAGATGGAGGAGTGTCAGCATGTTGTGGTCATGGCAGATGCCCAGCTGCTGTGACCATACTGCTCAGTTTTAAAGGCTGTTGCTGGATGCTGTAGGGCAGTCACGCACAAATGCTCATATTTTTAATAGTTCTTAGATCTCTGTCTACAGCAATACAGACCAGAGAGGTCTGTGTGTTTTCAGATTCAGAGTAGTCAACAGAAGAACAGGACAGGCCTCCCTTACCAGGAGCCTGTTGCAAGCAAATCTGATACTGTTCCTGGAGAGGCTTGTTTTTGTCTTCCTCCACCAAGACTGTTAGACACCTTTGCAAGGTGAGATGATGAATCATGATCAGTTTGCTTGGTTGATGTCCACCCCTGCAGGTGAAGTGTGAGTGGTCAGGTGACAGGTCAGCTGAGGAGGCTTCTGATGTACTTCTGTCCTTGATGTCCTATTGGAGTTGTTACTAAAAGAGATGTGGGGATGGTGGTTGTACTTTCTCCTGTCTGAGAAACTTGTCTGGTGATAGCAAAGGCTGAGTTGCCATTTCTTTTTCTCCTTGTGTGTTTAGCTTTATGACAGCTACGTGAGAGGTGAACGTGACCGTCTGCTCAGCCTGTGGCGTCAGGTGGTGACCTTCCGCCGTCACTTCCTGGAAATGAAGACTGCCACAGACAGGTCAGTGGAAGTTAAGGCTACATCTCTTGCTGAATAAATAGATCTTCCCTTCACAGCTGCTTTTTGAGCCTTGATGTCACTTTATTTCCAGCTAGAGAGATGATTTCTCCTTCGACAGTCTGAAGCAGTGCAATTAAGTGTGCTTTAGGCTATTCTCAGAATAATTTTGTTTGGTACTGGTTTTCAGATAAAACTGAGGGGCTTGGACTATAAGCAGTGCAGAGGCCCTGAGCAGATGCATTTGGCTGTGTTGATGTTTGGGTGTATTAACACAGACCTGTGGACAGATGGAAGAGGCTCACTGAACCTATGCATGCAGCATGTAGAGCAGTCCTTTTTATAGAGTGCTTAAAATCTGCCTTAAATCTCACAGAGTTCCTTTTCCCACTGCTCCTGTTGGAAAGATCATTCTGGAATGTTTGGTCTTTTTATTTCTTCTCATTTCCTGCTTACATTTGCTCTGGTCAATTTGTATCTGCTTGTTCCTGTACCAACATTGTTGGGAGGAAGAATAACTTCTTAGCCTGTTACTGCATTTATCCAATTTATTTTGCTTAGTTTGATACCTCTTTTTTATGGTTGTATTCTTGTTCTTGGGATCTCTGAGGTTCCTTTCTTACAGTTGCTTTGTACAGAAAGGAAAACAGCATAGCTGTAATAGTACGTTCTTGTGGTGTCAGAATGCACTTTCAGATTCTGGGTTCCTGGGAGCCATTTATCTGATTTGATTTTAAGCCTTCCTTAATGTGTAGAGTATGTCTGACCTCCTATTGAATTCTTATGTTATTTTGGAGGTTTTGTTGCAACATTCTTGGTTTATTCTTACTGCACCTTCCTGAAATGTTTGTTACATAGATACTGTCATGAGCCTCTTAACAATCCAAATGTTGATGATAATAAGGTCACTTAATGGTGATCCCCTAAGTATAAAAGCTGGGGACATTGTTAAAATTCCTTACATCTATTAATGATAATTAGTGTATATCAATAAGAGAGAGCAGGAGGAAAAATTAATAAGAGGAATAACAGATCCTTGAAGCCTTCTGGATGTGCCATAAATTTCTTATCTCTGTGGAGAAAACAGACCCATTCCTCAACTACCCAGTAGAGTCGTTCCTCAACTGTCAAGTTGTGTCCTGATCCCAAAGTGTCAGATGAATGATTTGTCCCCAGGGAAGATACCAGCTTTTATTATTGCACAATTATGTGCTTCAGAAGTGAGTCAGCTGATAAAGGTGGTGGTGTGAACATTAGGTCTTTCTTTGTTCTTCTTCAGAGATTTGTCAGAGCTGAGGGCAGAGCAAATGAGGCTTTCTGGATCTATACTTGTAAACTGCTCCCACCTAAACTCTGGCTTACAGCTCTGGGGGTCAGTCACTCGGGGCAGATGTGTCCTGATGGATCAGGCACAGCAGCAAGCAGGAGAGAAAATAAATCAGAAGACACAGGAAATTATATACTTACAAGGCCAGGAGGACCTGGAGAAGAAAGAGCTACAAGACAGGTAAATGTCTTTTTAACTTTGCTATTAGCAACATTATCTTTTGTGACTGCTTCTTGGAATCACAGATGGGCTGTGTTCACATTTAAAACATACCCATTCTGCACAGCCTTGTTTCTGTCCCTAGCAAACTATTGCCTTTAACAGAAAAGACAGGAAAAAGCATCTGACTGACAGAAGCTCTGGTGAGTAGGACAAGACTGGAAGGGAGACTGCATACTACAACGTGCTTGCTGTTAATTGATTCTTTGTGAGAAACTGAGACCAGTATAAAGAGAGCTTTGTTTCTTGTACAGCCCTTTCTACTACCCAGGGCTGTGCTAAAGGAGTTGGGAAGAATTTGCCCAGGGCCACCATAACTGCTGTAGCACCTCTGTACTGACAATTCCTTGCAAGACTGGGTGCAGAAGGTCTCTGGGGCACAATGTGCCATTTTGCAACATCAAGCTATTAACCTGTGAGAGGAATGCTGCCTTTGCTGTGTTTGCTGGGTTGAACTTCCTCTGCTGTGCTTCTGGGAGCTGCTTAGCTCTTTAACAGGTGATGGTGTGCAATGCTTTTGGAATGGCACGTGGATCTTCTTTTCTCAGGGTAATGGAGCTCTCAGCCTTGCTTGCACAGTCTCAGAAGCAGAACGAGGAGAAGGAGAAGACCATGAAAACACTTAATGACACTGTGGAGATCCTAGTATGTTTTCCCTTTGTCTGGGCGGTTGCCCAGTGTTTGCTCTCCAGCCTTAGCACAAAGAAGTGTGGCTTCCTCAGGAGAGAGAGTGGTAAAGATGCTAACTGTATGGTAACATCAGGCATGCTGCCAAAATATTCCTTGTGTGTTTGGCACATGTGGAGTTAGTGTAGGTGCAGGCAGTAGCAGGGGAGCTGCAGACAATTCAAGTGTCTTCTTCAGGGGGGTTGCACCAGTGCTATTCTGCCTGTGACCTTAAGTCTGTAGGCAACAAAGTTCCTTGGAATTGACAGCTTCATAGCAGTCTATAAAAACTAGCTATTGAGATTTCTCTTCTCAATTTTAGCAAAGAAGAAATTAAATAGGTATGGGAAGGAATATAATGGAATCACTAACGCTGAGGGTTATTGACATGAGAATGCTACTGAGGATGGAAATACTACAGAGGAGCAGCTCTTGCCTGCCCTCTCTTTCCTTATTTTGTTCTCAGGAAACAAGTCAGTCAGTGAGAGAATATGAAGCTTTATTGACCAGAAGTGCTAAAGAAGAGAATCTTTCCCTTCAAAAGCTGATAAAAGATATAACTGAGGTGAGTATGGAGTTGGGACCATATTCCTGTAAATTTGATTTAAAAGTACTTGAGGAAGGCAATAGAATAGCCCAGGGAATGTATAGTGTCTATGTTAACTGCTACAGGCTGGCTGTCCTGTGACACTTCAGCTCTGCTGCTAGCAGTTTCAGTACCTTTGCCTTCACCATTCTGCTAAGGTCTCTTGAACTGTGCTTTCTGAGTTGGCTGCTTGACATTTGTATTCCATTGTTGCTTGGATGTTTTTCCCATGCTCTTTGAGCACTGGCTCAGATTTTTATAGAAGGTCATTGACTTGCCATCTCTGCTCCTTCACTCCGTGTTCACTGACCATTATTATCTCCCCAGAATCACAACCGGTCTGACTGTTAAGGGGCAACTTTAGCTTGGTCCTAAGCTGCATTCTCTGCTGGGAGGTTTAATCATCATATCTTCTACAAAGCCTCTCACAAAGTCAGCTCTTTGCCCTTATGTAGTCATTTTAATCCTCCTGTGCCACTGCTCAGTTATAAACATGAGGTTTTTCATTGCTGTTTTCCAATATTCATCGGAGTCCTTCTTCCCTTGGTAGCATTAACATTTCCTATCATTGCTGTTTCCAGTGGTGATCTTATGCTCGTGTATGTGATGCTATGAAGTTGAAGGAGACCCGGTGCTTGTGTGTGTGATGCTATGAAGTTGAAGGAGACCCAAATTATTTTTGAGATCTTCAAGAAGCTTGGCATTCAGGCAACCTGCAGCCAAGTCACACTTGATTCTTTTTGTTTATAGTACCTGTATTCACAAAAACCTGGAGCACTTGTGGCCACAGGGACAAACTTCTTTGTTAACTGAAGAAATAAGAGATTTGAGTTTTTGATGACTCTGGGATCAAGTTGGGGAGAAAGGAGGAACAGATAAAACCAAGTAGAATGAGCAAATAGTGACGGCTTGATGTGGGCTTTCAGATGGTGTTAGATGACAGTGACAGCACCATCAGCGTTACCACCACCGGCAGTTCCCAGCATGCAGAGTCTGGCAACATCCTCTCTGATCTGGGCTCAGCTGATGCAAAGCATGCCTTTGGATTGGTTCAGGAAGCACTTGCAAGGAGGCGAGGAGCAACACAGGTGAGAATTTCTGCTTATCTTCACCGCTGGCCACAGGCTCAGCTGCTGATGCCTCACTTAGCTTGAAACCTTTCCATGTAGCTAGCCAGTCTAGCCAATTTCTTTCTAGCCTTTCCACTCTGGGTACTGTATTGCCTTGCCAGTCTCACCAGCTGTGTTCTGCTTTTCTCTCCTTGATCTCCACCCCCTCACAGACCTCGTCACAGCTTTTGCCTTCACGTGATCTGTCTCTCTGCTTCCTTCTTGTCCCAGTTGTCCTCCTTGGCTCCCTATGTTTTCCTTATTGCTTGTTTGTGTACTTTCCGTACCCACTCCTTGCAGGCCCTAAAAGAAGAGCTTTCTGCCAGGCAAGACTCTGTCAACATCCTGCTGCACCAGCACAGACAGCAGGAGGAGAAGTGCAGGAAGCTGCAGCAAAGGCTTGATCAACTGGAGGAGGAATGCAAGACATCCAGCAGCCACCGGCAGCACCTCCAGTCTCTGGTAGAAGCACTCAGAAGGTGAGTGTTTTCCCCCTTCTCCTGCATCCTAGAGCCAATCTGCTTCCAGTTGTGGGAGTTCAGAGGTGTTAAGGGCAAAGAACTCAACTGCCTTTCCATGTGTATGCCTCTGGCACTTGAGCATCCTTCTGTCACTGCTTTTCATGCTCTACTGTGAATCCTAAGGCTGCCTTAGAGATTCAGAGCAATGTTGGAATACAAGACGTCTCCCTCTTGACCTGCTACTCTGCTGAATTCTGTTCTTTAGCTGCCCTTTCCTAGCCACTGCTTCTTACTACACAAAGGCAAAAGTTGCCTTCCCTTCTCCTTCCCTCTTCAGTTACCTTGTGAGGGGATGTGTAAGTTCTTCCTTGCTGTGCTCCCCACAGCTTCATCCTGGAATGATGAAAATGGAATCTGTGACTTTTCAGGCCTCTTCATTATTCTGACTGAGCCTTGTCTCTGCAGCGACTGTGCAGACATGGAGCAAAGCAGGGCAGAGCTGCAGCAGCAGCTTGAAGGAGCACAGCAGGAGGCCTCACGCCTGCGGCAGAGTAACACTGAGCTGCAGCTGAAGGAAGATTCAGCCCAGGAGGAAAAGGTGGAGCAGCAGAAGACCATGGAGAGAGCACGTCATGAGCAGGAGCTCCTGTGAGCATTAGAGCTTACTCTGGGCAGGGGTGGGCATTGCTGGACTTTAGAAGGCCCACTGTAAAAGAGTGAATTTTGCATATCCATCATTTGTAGCACAGAAAGGTGAAAGGAGCATGTGGGCAGGTATGACTACCTACTGACACACAGCAGAGCTGCCTTCTTGTACTTTCTTCATGATCCTTTAAAAATTTCAAGCCTGACCAGCGTAGCTGGTGACAGGCATAAGCTCACTATTTTTGGGAGTATTACTATGGACTTCAGAAGTCTGTCTTATCTGAAGAACAACTTTGGAAGGTCTCATATCCAATGTATCAAAAAGACATGAGAGAACTAAGAGGCAGGAATATGCTGAGAGCACCTGAATATTTTGGAAACATCCCATGATTTCTAGAAGCTTATTTTACCTTGTCAATGATGAATGTTTCATGTACAGCAATAACAAAGAGCAGTGCAACTCTAGTCAGGAAATGACAGCATTCTTTTGGTGTAAATATAAAGCTGTTGAAAGTCATTCAAACTGGGACATAGTGTGTACTCAGGTTTTGGAAATGAAAATGTTTTTACATGAAAAACTTATTTGTCTTTCCCCTTCTCATAGACTGAAGGACTTAGCTGCACTTGAAGAAAAACATTCGATGTTGCAGAGTGAGTTGGTAGTCACAAGAGAGACACTGGAGGAATCATACCTTCAGAGAGATCTGCTGAAGCAAGAGAAACATGAGCTTACAGTGGCACTGGAAAAGGTATGGTGGTGTTATTCCTAGGGAAGACTTGTGGGCGAGGTGGTTGTGATAGCAAGACCACTACAGATGCTGTTTCTGGCAGTAGAAGTCGGTCAAAATGTTGTTCTCTTAGAAAATGGTGATCAGATGACACAGGCTCTTTGGGGTAATTAATCCCCATGTGCTTATTTGGAACACTGAACTGGGAGTAGCATGTCAGACACACAAAAGGGGATCTCGAGTTGCTCCTTGAAGTCAAGGATTTTCTTGTCTTTGGTGTCACATTTTTCTGTTGTCTCTTCAGGCAGAGCAGGCAGTGGCAGACTTGACAGGGGCTCAGAATAAGCTGGGTGCTGAAATAGCTGATCTACGTGATGCAACAGAGAAGATGAGTAGTATCAATGAAGCTCTTGCACTGGATAAAGTGCAACTGAACAAAATTGCATTGCAGGTGAGCAGAGCTGCCAAAAATCTTGCAGGTGTTTGTCTCCAGCTGCTGCTTCTTCTCGGGCTCCTTGCCTTCAGACAGCATGAGTCTGAATATGGAAATGTTGTACTTTTTTCTGTCCGAGCCAAAGCTTCTGCAGAGTAAATCCTGTTGTATATTCTTTTCTTTGTGCTTTTGTGCTTGTAGCTGGAGCAAGAGAATGGTGTTCTGTCAGGTAAAGTGGCCGAGATGGAGAGAGCCAGGATCTCTGACCTGGAGAAGCTGAACTTCTGTGAAAAAGCAAATGAAGACCTCTGTGCAGAGAAAGCCCACCTGGAGCAGCTGCTGAAGAAAGCAGAGGAGGAGCAGGAGGGGCTGCAGATAGAGCTGATGATAATGGCAGAGGAGAAAACAGAAACCCAAGAGAAACTCAATCAGGTAAGACCCAAAATCCCTGGTACTTTCTGGGTGGACTTTTGGCTGCTTAGCTCAGTGAAGCTGTGTCTGTTGGATTCTACAGTGTTTTTGTCAAGGAGACACTTAGTAGTGCTGGAGTTCAGAAGGCTTAGTTACTTCTTTCTGGAAACCTGTTGATGGCTTTCAGAGTTGTTCTGCAGTTCTCTGAGTTGTCTTCTGCTTTTACAGATGCTTTTAATCCACTTGTCTGTGTTGGCCTCTTTTTTGGCTTTTTATAAGGTGTAAATAGGTGGTTGTGTTGTCCATGAATCTGAGTGAGGCCTGTTACTTTCACGTGTGGCAAAAGAAGCAAACTCTTTTCAGATTGGATATTAGGAAACATTTCTTCACCAAAAGGGTTGTCGAGCCCTGGAACAGTCTGCCCAGGGAAGTGGTGGAGTCACCATCCCTGGATGTGTTTAAAAACCTTGTAGGTGTGGTGCTTAGGGACATAATTTAGTGGTGGACTTGGCAGTGTTAGGTTTGCGTTTGTACTCGATGATCTTAAAGGTCTTTTCCAACCTAAATAATCCTAAGATTTTATGAACTGTTGGAGCCTCTTTAGTCTTTGAGGAGGAAGATGAAAGTAGGTCATCACACAAGACTTCACTCTGCACTAACTCATTTCAGTACCTTGCAAAAAGAGCTTGGAAGAATCATGTCACTAGGGGAAACTAGGGAGCTTGTCATCATTTAAATGTCAGTTTCATAATGTACAATCGTGGGTATTATGGGATAACTTTGAGAAGATTGTTTGTTTCTGATGATCTGTTCTCAGTCTTAGTTCTGGAGTACATGGTATGTTTGGCAAATAGGTTATACTGAAGAAAAAAGCTAAAAAACCACGGTGAGTCTTCAAACTTGAATACCCGCAAGGTATCTTAGACAACTTCTTTGTGTAAGGCAAGTAAACAGTATTGTTGACATGAACTACTGTACAAATAAGAGTCTACCATCTCTTGGGCCACATCAGCCAGACTTCCATAAATCACTAAATGACACTGTTCACCACAAGGGCTGTTTCCCTGCCAAGCATCACCTCATTGCGTCCAACTGCTTTTACACGCTGAAGCAGGTGACAGTTTGATCCTTTTTTTTTTTTACACATGAGAAATCATGTGTATTTTCATGTTCTTCAGTGAGCAAAGTTGCTTTTGTTCAGCCTTTCCTGAAAATTTCCAGCACTGGAACAGATTCTGCTGGCATTTTAGTTTGCAGCGTGGCAGTTCTAGAAATGAAGTATATTTTTCAGGAAAACATGTAGTCTTGAGTATTTGTTGTGAAGGAGCTGTCTGGTCCCAGACAACCCAGTAGGGCCTTAGACATCACTTTCAAATTAACAGTTCCAGTGCTTTTAGGCAGCCCAAGCTATTAGTGCAGTATATAGGTCTCAAACTGTCAGCTCAGAGTACAGGAGCAGCGTCTCCTCCAGCTGGTTCAGAAGTGGTTCTGACTGAGAAGCGGGGCTGGCCCTGCACAGAACTCTAGAGAAAGGACTGACTGTTCTGTCCTGCTTTCAGGTCTCCCGCCAGCAGGAGGCAGCCAGCAGTGACCTGGAGCAGCTGCAGGAGGAGTCTTCTCGCCAAGGGCACGCGCTGGCCAGGGTGTCCAGGGAGCAGGAATTCCTCGTGCATGAGAAGGCCGCCCTAGAGGTGCGCCTGGCAGCCGTGGAGCGGGACAGAGAGAGCCTTTCAGAGCAGCTGGCAGAGGCCAGGTGAGGGCAGGGAGGAGACCCCAGACAGGACATTATTTCATGTCTGTAATTATAAAGGTGGTAATCATTACCTGAGGATTAATTGCGTCCTGTGTGCTTTTCAGCTGTTTCCACCTTCCATGGGCAGAAAATGGAAGGATCTCTAGAAAAACAAACAGACCATGCTTCTCAACTTCTACTCTTTACCACTCTGGAGTATGTTGTTAGCAAGGCTGATAAACACCATTTTTACTCAGTCTGTTTCTTGAAAGCTGCTGCTGCTTCTGAGCTCCAGCTTCTCTTACGTGATCCAGCTGAAATATATTGGGTCAATTTGGGACTGTTATTAAAATATTAAACATTTGGTTGTTCCCCTTGAGGATACATCCTCTATTCTCCATCAAAGCAGTGAAATCCTGCTATTGTGGCTTTTATTGCAGTACCACTGGGTTGTCCCTTTACCCTGAAGGATGAGGTTGTGTTAGATCAAGGAGGTAACTGCAGCTCCTGGTTCCTGTTTGTCATGTGCAGCAGTTGGTTGAAGTCTAATGCTGTAACAGTTTGCATCTGCAGTACTACAGCTTCCTTTTCAAAGAGTGACCAGTCATTTAGCTGCTGCCTCCTGAGTTACAAATGCTTAGGAAAAAACAGCAAGTTCTTCTCTGGAACTTTCAACAGTTTAAACTGAAGGCTACCTGTCTCTCCTTTCAGATAGTTCTTGTTTGGATAAAATCTGGTTCAGATTTCTTATAGATGCTGCTACAAGCTTGAGACTTTACTATATGGTCTGATGTATTTTTTGAGTCACTTTTAAATACAGGGCATCTGGAAGATGACCTACCTATACCTACACAATGAACAGCATTTAAGAAGTCACGAGTCAGCCAGGGAAATACTCTTATCCTCTTCCCTTGCAGAGCTGTTTGGAAGTGCTGACGAGCTAAGGGCTGTGAGCAGAGGCTGGGCATTTGCTTGCTGGCACAGATTTGTAGGCACAACTATTTAAGATTTGGCTCCTGAGATCAAATTTGGCTTGACTTTCTGTGTTATGTGAGGTCAGAGTAAAGCCTGGGCATTCCCTCACAGGGCCCTGCTCTAAAGTGTTAAAATGGCAGAAATGTGCTTCCTGTATACAAGTTGCCATGCAATCCATTTTCTGTTCTCAGGGTTAGGGATCTTGAACCACATCTTACTGGAATTCTCCCTGTGGGTGTTGGGAGCAAGAAACTAATTTCTCTCTGTATTTTCAACTTGCAGGTCAGTGAAGGAGACCCTGGAATCCAGTCTGTTTGAGGCTCAGCAGCATGTATCTCAGCTGGAAATCACCAGGAGTCAGCTCGAAATCCAACTTCACACAGTCACGCAGGCCAAAGAGGTGATACAAGGTGAGAACCTCATGAGCATTGTTTCTGGTGATCCCCTCAACCTAGGGAAGGTGGTATAAAAATTGCTTTGTCCACAGTGCTCCTGAGGGGTGAAGGAGATGGAGGCAGATCCCTCCTATGCTGAAATTCAAATGGCTTAAGGTCAGTGAAGTCAGAACCATTGTCTGTGTAGGCTGAGTCTTGCCATTTGTCATGTTTGCAGGGGAAGTGAAGTGCCTTCAATGTGAGCTGGAAGCAGAGAGATCTCTCATGAAGCAGGAACGGGAAACGATGGCCCAGCAGCTCTTGCAGACAGAACTGCAGTATGACAACACCCTCAGACTTCGGGAAACTGATCATGAAATGGAAAGAACCAGTCTCCTGCAAGACCTGGTAGGAAACACTGTGCTGCTGAGTTCTTCAAGCATGTTGTGTGGCCTGGCTTTAGAATAGCTTGAGTGTGTGAAATGGCAACAATCATCTGTCATAAGACATACTCAGAGCCAGTGGCTCGTACTTGAAGGCATGTGAAGGCCTCCAGGATTATGCTGGGACAGTAAAGGCAGCCCCAGATTCAGTGTGGGTGTAAAAAGAATTCAGCAAAAGGTTGGGTGGTCCCACCCAAAGCATGGCAATGAAGGGCTAGGATCTTATCAAACTGCTGTTAGGAAACAGAGTAGTTTCCTAACACTCCTGCCAACTGCAGTCGTGGAAACGTTGTTCCTTTCATTCTGTTCTGTCATGGTTGACAGAGAATATCTCTGTCTTTGTGCTTAAAGCATATGGAACAGGCTCTTTTTTGTGGTACTTCAGTTCATGGCCTGTCTTGTGACTAGGGCTTCAGGGTACTGGCCTCTTTCTCACCTTGCAGTCCATCTGCACCTTTTCATTGATGAAAAGGGAGGTGAGCTTTGAAAATAGAAACTCTGAGAATAGACAGAAATACTGAGGAGAATGTTGCTAGGAAACAGGCAGCCATCAGAGAGGGGAAGGTAATATCTTTCCTTCCACCTGCTGACCCTCTGTTTAAGCTCTTCGACAGGACATGATTTATAGAGGGCACAAAGCCACTGTGCATTGTTTGGGTGGGGGTTTGTGGGAGGGACGAAGCTTCACAGAGTTTTATGAGAAGCTTGGATGTGACTCTGTCTGGAAGAATTCCTCCTTCCCTCATCAGGCAAGTGAGCAGGAAAGGCACCGTTCAGAGCTGCAGCAGATGCTGGAGCAATGGGAAAAAGAGAAGGCAGAGACAGAAGGGGAGCATGAAGAGAAGCTGTTTGATATGAAGCAGAAAGTTGCTACCATGCAAGCTCAACAAGAAGAGGAACAAACTAGAGTGGAAAATGCCAAGCAGGAGGTAAAAACTGTGAAAGAAGAATTTGGGGGTGGTGGTTTGCAAGGCTGGAGCTATGGGAGATGGATGGATATTGGGCTGTGTGGAGCCCTGCATGTTTTCTGCTTTGAATTTGGTGAGGTAAAAGGGAGGCAGTGCTATCTTTGGGCCTAGGAATGAGACCTCATAACAAGCCAGGCAGAAATGTCATGTCTCATTTTAGATTTTTGTGCTGGTATTGTATTCTAAATTAAGTCTTAATCTCAGAGCATCTTCACAGTTCTCTTAATGGTCCCCTCCTGATGTTTACTGATATGTGTGTACAGTCTTGCCTCCATTAAAGACCAAACTGGGTTTGTAGGACTGAGTCCCCAAGAGGATGGGGTTTTTGTTTGAGGAGGATGGGCAGTGACTCAGCTGTCAGCTGAGGCATCCTCCCAACTTCTGGTGCAAATTAACCCTGTTGTAGCCAAATCAGAACAGTAAGCTCTTTTGTGCTCAGATCTCCTGTGCCAAAGCAACCCTGTCATACACTGACTCCTTGTGTCCTGCCCAAACTCCACTTTCTTTAGGCTGCCTAGGTACAGCCATATTGCCAGCTGTGTCTGTGGATACTGAAATGACAGGGCAGTGCTCAGAGATGGCAGTGTGTCCCTGTAATGTCAGTACTTTACCCTACTGGATACCTTAAAACTGAAGTAATCTTCATGAAGCTCCACTTGGAACACACAAGTTTTCTGAAGGCACTGCTAGCTTCAGCCTCTGGCAGCCTTGCACTTTCTCTAGAAGTCACTACTGAAAGACAAACAGGACAAAGCAGATGAGGGATACCCTCACCAGCAAGGCAAGCCACTTGAGAAATGCTATACATTTTTCTGTTAGATGGTGACTAAGAGTTTGTTGAAGGTTTAATCGCTGTGAATGGATCGTGGATGCACCATGTTTATACAGCCAGTCTCACCTGGGAAGCTGTGTGCCCAAGTGCACAGATAATGACCTAGGAGACCAGCTGCATGGTGCTCTGAGAAAGTGGGAGCCCATCAGTCTTTGAGTCTTGCACACAAGTTTTGTGTGAGTAGTTTAAACCTATCTTTCCTTTATTTCTGTGCAGGTCCTGATGGAAAAGGAGAGAGAGAAGAATGCTTTATTAGAGACACTACTCCAAACTCAGGGAGAGCTAAGAGAAGCCTCCCAACAGCTAGAGCAGCTCAGGCAGGAGGTGAAAGAACAGCAAGAGAATGGGCAGGTAAGTCTGACTAGTAGGGTAACTCGAAAGAACAGGTAGTTTGTGGTTGGACATAAGCAGAGGGAGGCTGAGAAAGCCAGATAAGAGTGCAGGGCAGTAACCTGGAAATAAAACATGAGCCCTGGGACTGGGGAGGTAAGGACTGCTGCAGGCACTGGAAGCTAAGCTCCAGAGATCAGCAGCAGGCAGGAAGGGTTACAGTGGAAGAAGAACTGGAGAGAAATGCAGAAAGAAGTGGCTGAAGAAATGTGGTTTTGAGACAGATAAAGCTGAACCTGAATGGCAGGTCCCAGCAGCTTGCTCTCCATTTGTGTTTACAGAACATCACAGAAAAGCTGCAAGCAGAGCTGCAGGAAGCTTGGAGTAAGATCAAGGCAGTGGAGGACAGGCACAGGGAAGAAATCGAAACTGTCAAAGAGGAAATGAACATCCTCCTTCAGCAGAGGGATGCTCTACAAACACAGGTGACTGAAGCAGGGACAGCTACTCCAGTCATCAAACACATGCTCTCCACTGCTTGCCTTTCCATTGCAGCAAGAGGCTGATGGGGTAATCCACCTGACTGCCATCGTGCTGTGGTCTCCATCTCAGCTGGTCTGAAGGAGACTTCCCAGCTCTGTCCTGCACACATGGGCTAGTCCTTTTGCCTGTCTTCCAGTAATCATCAGAATGGGTTTCTGCTGGCCTTGTTTTTCAGGTGGTTTTTCAGATGAACATGGATCTACCTAGATTTTTAAACAAGCTGGCTGTATCTGTTGTGGATCTGGTTCTCTCACAACAGCATGAAATTTGAAGTTGCTCCTTC